GGAGGAATTTTAATTGTACAATCAAAAGTCGCTTCGTAAGAATTACAAACTTCCACCAGCTCAGTACCTAGTTTTGAGAAATTTGGCGTAAATATTTTTTGAGTTTCACAACATGCCAACATTTTTTTAAAGCGATTATTTCAAAACCTTCTGATTTTGATAGAGAAGATAAAATATTTGGTTTCTGACCTCACGGTATTAATAATTCAAAACGGCCAAAAATGTCAGATAAAACTGTGATTCTCAGGTAGTAAAATGTCGAGGAGAAAAGTGGCTGTTTTAAACAGGTGGTCGTCCAACGCAGTGCCATTATAATACATTTTTTTATGTGCAAAGAAGGAAACTGAAAGTGACCGTTTGCGAAAATAGCTAGAGACAGCGACAGATCCTGTCAGTTTGCTTGTGTTGGAGCACTTAACGCCTGCTTGCTCTGTATGCTTCCCGGAAAGTCGAGAATAATTGTTTCTGAATCGTATTCTCAGGGCGTCGGCAGCCTTGTGGTTAGGCTACCGTATTCGTGATCGTGATATTGCGTGTTTGGGGGTCAAGCCTCAGCTCGGTCTGACGTTGTGTCCTTGGGAAAAGCGCTTTACACGAATTTCCCGCTTGGCGCGATCCTTTCGGAGGTGGATGTTTAACTCGGAGGCCCGGCCTCTTAAATAACCTAACCGTGTTGATAGGTGGATTAAACCTATACCATTTCAGAGGGTCTACTGGGGTTACGAGTATAGTAGTTGTAGAGCGCATAAATCATGAGGTTAAGTAGAGCGTGGATACGTGCAATAATATAAATTATGCACTTATTACTATCATACCGACAAAGAAACAAAATGAAATAGCCTCCAGCCCAGAGACAAAAGCATTAGGAGATAATTAATGTAATACCTGTTAATAGAAGTCGTTTCGCTAACAAGACGATCCCCAAAGTCCCGATCGGATGCGGGAACAACTTTACTTTACACGTTAATGGATAATAATAATAGGTAAAGGTCTACCCCAGCGTTCTCGATCGGAGCTTGCTTGACCTAAATTGCCTCTCGATCCGAGGTTTCCCCTCTCTTTTGGCACGCCCGTGTGTGTGTGTGTGTGTGTGTGTGTGTGTGTGTGTGTGTGTGTGTGTGTGTGTGTGTGTGTGTGTGTGTGTGTGTGTGTGTGTGAGAGAAACAGGGGGGCAAACCATATAGGTATAAGTATGAGTGCGTGACTGTGCGCGCCTGTGTGTCTGTCTGCACAGATATTGGGAGATGTGCGTGTGCGTGCGCGTGCGTGCGTGCGTATATATGTGTGTATGTTTGAATTATGTATTGTAGCGAGTGGAGGCGGTAAGTAAGTACAATCCACGTACCAGTAAAGAGCACGGGTCCACTGTAAGGAGTCCACTTGTGTTCTGCAGGGATAGAGCTAGTGTGTGACGTCTCTGTGACGTGTGTAGACGAGGTCTGTGGACGTTCTGCCATTTCTGTAGCTCTCTGTGATAACGAGACGAGAATTTTGCAGCATTTGGGATAGGTGTTTG